CCCTTCCCTCAATATTTCTGTGGTTTTCAGTGGGAGAACCCACTGCCATCAAGTTGATTCTGACTCATAGTGACTCTGTAGGAAATAGTAGATCTGCCTCATTGGGTTTACAAGGCTGTACATCTTTATAGAAGCAGATTGCCTCATTTTTCTCCTTCAGAGTGGCGAGTGGCTGTGGGTTTGAACCACCAATTTTCTTTAGCAGCTGAATGCTTTAACCACTATACCACCAAGGTTCTTTTGGTGGGAGAGATGACCAAATAACCCAGCCCCGGTTGTGGAAGAAGAATGTCGTTAGCTAACATTTTCAATTGCTTTGGTGGGGGCAATGAAAACTGATAGCTATTACAGTTCATGTTAGCTTTCTACACAGAAGAAAAGGGCTCTTCCCTTGCTTCAAGCACTGTACAAAATGGAAACGCATTTTTCATAGTGGTTTGGATAGCTGACTCCTTGCCCAAGAGTGCCAGAAAGGACAACTATTGGAGTACCTGGTCTAGAGGTGCATTAGCTGGACATGTAATGCTGATAAGTGAGTGAAGAGAATAGGCTCCATCTTTTTAAAGTAGCACGATGTAATGCTTTGAGAAAGTAGACTGAATGACCAATCAGGATACAGTCTTTAGTCTCATTACCCATATAACATACAATTGAGGCCTGATTACATTTTATGGGGCATTTTGAAAGGTTACAAAAATCTAATGGCTAAGAGAGTCATAAGGAGGTGTGGTGGTGCAGTGCCTAAGGCATTTGACTGCTAACTAGAAGGTTGGTGGTTCAAATTCACCAGCTGCTCTGTTGAAGGAAGATGGGGCAATCTACTTCTGTAAAGATTTACTGCCTCAGAAACCCAATAGGGGTCACTATGAGTCAGAATTGACTCAATAGCAGTGAGGTTTTTTTTTTGGTAGTGGGTCATAACAGTCATAGAGAGCAGTGTTCCTTTTGGGAAACATGTTGGGCTAGTTTTCAAAAAACATAATCAAATTTGTGAAATATTTCAAACACACAGACAATAAACTTCATACATCCAACATACAGCTTTACCAATTTTAACCTTATGCCATATTTGCCTCAGATTTTTCTTAAAAGAATAAATCTTAGGGATATAATTGAAGCACTTGTTTATCCCTCACAAATATCCCCGATAACACAAACATAAATTTAGTGTTTATCACAAAGGAATATTATATGACATTAAAGAATAACAATGAAATCTGTGAGACACCTCATAACATGGATGAACCTAGAGGACATGCTGAGTGAAATTAGTCAATCACAAAAGGGCAAATATTGTATGAAATCACTATTGTAAAAAGTCAAGAAAAAGTTTACACATAGAAAGAACCATTCTTTGAAGGTAACCAGAGGTGAGAAGGAAAGGGAGGGTAAATCACTAAATAGAGGACTGACACACATTAACTTGGGAGAAGGGAAAGGTAATACATAATAAGGGGGAGGTCAGCACAAAATGATCAAGGCAGTGGAGGACACAGTTAAGAACACAAGAGTTAAAGGCAACAAAGGTGAATAGTATTACATAACACAATCCTGCAATAACCATAGTGTCAGTACTCTATGAGTGGATACATAGATAGACACTCAAGCTGAACAGAAGTGAGAAGACAAATGGGACTATACCCATGAACATATATAGGGGTTCTTGTCACCTAGTGCCGCTCTGACAAGAATATACCACAAATGGAATGGCCTTAACAAACAGGAGTTTATTCTCTAACAGTTTGGAGGCTTTATGTCCAAGTTCAAAGTGCCAGGCTCTAGGGGCTGGGTAAAATCCCCTCAACCTGGGGTCCAGCTCTGCCTCCTGCTGCCGGCCCATTGGAGCTAGAGGCGTTTCTTCACTCAGACAGCTGCTAGCTGCTGAGGCTGAGAAGCCCAAGGTTGACAAGTGAAAATGCATAGTCCTGATGTTATCAAACCACATGGCAGGCCATTAATTCAAGTTCATTGTAAGTCTCAAGGTCAGCAGAGCATGGCAGGCTGTTGAACAATGACATGGCTACATGCAGGGTCCAAGCATGCCATATGCTAGAGACCATTCCCAAGGCTTCTCCTTATATACAGGAAGCAGACCACATCCCTAAGGCAGCTACTCAGCTGCTTGTGGTAGATCCCACCATGGAGTTGTTTGCCAGTCTCATCATGGGGAATACTACCACCAGCTGCCCCGCCACTCAACCAGGCCCAGCCAAGGTGACACACAAACATAACTACCACAATAGGTTTGACAGAGGATTTCTTTACCTGTGTTTTCATATGTGCAGCAAATATATCTATGAATGTAGTAGAACATACAAGGGGCAAAGTTATAAAAACTTCTTAGTCATAACCAAGCACCGTAAGGGGATGAGTCATGGCTTGGGGGCTCAAGACTACAGCCTCAGGGGACACTAGGGTCAAGTGACATAACATAGTCCACAAAAGATAATTTTCTCCCCCCCCTCTGGTGACAAAAAAACAAGATAATTGTTTTATATCCTACTTTGGTGAGTAGTGACTAGGTCTTAAAAAGCTTGTGAGCAGCCATCTAAGGTACAACTATTGGTCTTTTCCCTTCTGGACCAAAGAAGAGTGAGAAGAAAATCAAAGACTGCAGGAAACAATTAATACAAAGAACTAATGGAGCATGTGAACTCCTCCCTCCAATAGAACTAGATGGTGCCTGGCTACAACTGCTGACCTCTCTGAAAGGGATCATAATAGGAGGTCCTGGATAGAGCAGGAGAACAATGTGGAACAAAACTCAAAATCATAAAAAAGATCAGGCTTACTGGTCTGATGAAGACTGGCAGAACCCCTGAGACCATGACTTCTTTAAGGTAGGAACTGAATTCAACCCCCATGGGTCAACTTTCAGCCAAATGATAGGCCTAGGATGTAAACCATAATACCAGGAAGGTATGCATTCATGGGAACAAAAAAAACATAAAAGATCAAAGGGGCAGCATTTTTGTTAGCATCTCTGGGCAACAAAGCTAAATAGCCAGGAAGGGATATAATGAAAGGAAATGGTAACCACAGGTAGGATGTCGGAAGAGTGCTGTTACATTGTGGGGACTGCAGTGAATGTCACAAAGCAAAATGTATATGAATTGTTGAATGGAAAGTGAATTTGTTTTGTAAACTTTTACTTAAATCACAATAAAAAAATTCAATGTTTATCACTTATGAATATTTTATAATACATATCTATATGTGCTTTCTTTATCATGTATATCTTTCTGAAGCTTTGTTCACTAAACATTGTTTTGTAGTTTTATTTATGCTGAAAGATACAACTCTGTTGTTGTTGTTATGTGCTGTCGAGTCGGACCCGACTCATAGCGACCCCTCCTTGGGTTTCTGAGGCAGTATCACTA